TCACAAAGATAATATTTTGCAAAGATAAGAAAATAACTTGGAATAGTAGGTCATTAACCGACCAGAGACCAATGAATGGAGATGAGGTGCAAATGTTGGATTATTCATGAATAATCAAAAGGTGGGATTATTGAAAGAAGACCACTAAAAGGTTGGATTATTAGTTTCCATTTTCCCTATAATAAATGAACATTAATTATATTACTAATAAATTACAATTAATTTATGTCAAGTATAGATTATTTGTGAACCAAGTAATCAACATAAACGTATTCGTTTACAAAATACATTTCATTTAAGAACAAACATTCTTCGAGCATATTTTTGTAATGCATTATATTGTAAAAAATAATGCAACCTTATAACCTAATAATATCTTTTTGTCAACCTAAATTGCAAAATTAACAATCCAAAAAGTAATAATTTAAAAACTAATCTGGACTTGTGGGTTTTGGCTTTGTGTAAGCTCTAGACCGGTTGTGGCTTATTAATAACTATATTAATTATTTAAGTTCACATTTCCATGCAACTGTGCTAGGAGAACAATGGCGGCAGTTGGGCTGGTGTTCTTCATTGGCCCCTAGACCTCTAGTTATACTACTACTCATTTTTTAATTTTTTGGGGCCTTCACTTATTTTGGGCCATGTGCGGTCGGGCTGCCCACACATGCTTTGGGCCGACCCTGCAACCAGTATGAGCCAACTTAATTAATACGCCCCGTGAAATGGTGACTCATTAGAGCAAACCAATCATGTAGTCCCATGTACTCGTTGTTGAAATTTACTATGATATAATTGCTCGTTGGAGCTTATTTGCTATGATATCATATTAAGATTTGAGACTCCATCATAAAAACTGCTATGATATCATATTATGATTTGAGACTCCATCATAAAAGACTAACCTGATAGGAGGGAGAAACAATTTGTATTTTTATACATGACCGGTATGAGAGAGCTTAATAACATCATTGTATTCACTATTTGATTCGAACAAAACTCAAATTATGTGTGTGTGTAATACTCCATACTTCATGTAAATAACTAATCCCTATAAAGGCTATAATACGATGTAAAATATTAATAACATAATACTACAAATAAGGCTGGGACGGTATAATATTCTGTTATTTTCTGGGAGTATTGATTTACTAAAGCTATAAGATAATTAGTGGCCATTTATTTTGAGCGTTTTTGCTAGTCATGAATTTTCAAAGTAACTTATTTGGACGGTATAATATTCTGTTAACTTGTTTACATTGATACAAATTTTGACGAAGTCGTCAATTTTAATTCTACTCTGATTTGTATGAAAGATGTGCTGTGATAAATGAAGCAATAGAACAAACTATACACTATTATTTTAGCTATTTTGATAAATCTGACATTTAATTCTTCTGTAATTAGAATTTGAATATGTTCAGATATCACAAACGAAGTGATTATGAATATAAAAAATGATTTCATTATTAGACGGATATGAATATGAATAATAATATCAAATACTCTGTTCGATTCATTCACAATCCTATAACATTCACATACGGATTACCAGGGACATAATAGTATATTTACCTTTATTCCTTTCTTACCAGTTCAAAATGACATACTTCCTATATAGGTAATTCTAAGGCGGGTCAAATAAAAAATATTTTGAGTCTTTGAAAAGTGCGAAATGCATTTATTATTATAATAAATAAAGTTCTCATTCTATCCCTCCTATACTTAGAGCATCTACAATGGTAGAATGTGCACGATGCACATGTGGCGTGAAAGACAGCCACATAAATATTAGCAAATAAATTACTTCTCTTTTTACTTGAATGACTTTATACAATTTTGGTATGTTTTTCCCTGCAATGTCAACTGCAATGTCAACACTTAGACGGTCTTCTTGACATTGTGGAGAAAAACTCACCAAAACTGTATAAATCATTCAAATAAGGAGAGAAAGAATTAATTTACTAATATTTATGTGGCTATCTCTCATGCCACGTGTGCACCGTGCACAGTTTACCATTGGAGATGCTCTTAGAGCATCTTCAATGCTATAATGTGCACGGTGCACATGTGGCAGTATTGATAGCCACATAAATATTAGCAAATAAATTATCTATCTCCTTATTTGAATGATTTTATACTATTTTGGTAAGTTTTTTCCTGCAATGTCAACAGCAATGTCAACATTTGACGGTCTCTTTGACATTGTGGAGAAAAACTTACCAAAATTGTATAAAATCATTTAAATAAAGAGAGAAAAAATTAATTAACTGATATTTATATGGTCATCTTTCATGCCACGTGTGCACCGTGCACATTATAGCATTGGAGATGCTCTTAGGAATTATGATGTTTTCTTTTGGACTCTTTTCAGTCCCAGACCAAACCTGATTAGATTAGACCAAACCAAATCAGACCAGACTTCCGTAGTTATAAAATACACAAAGACCAGACGTTTACCAGACCAGACCAGATTAGACCAGACCAGTAAATTTCAGCCCAAAAGAAAACATCATTAGCTTCAAGAGAAAAAGCTTCAAGTCACTAGAACGTTCAGTACAAATTTATGGGAAGGTGTTGTCTAGATTGAGAATCAAATTCATTAAACTTTGATAATAATCTAAATCAATGGAAAATAATACACAAGTGCGTATTTTTAGTAACTGTGGGAATGATTAGCTCGACTTAGAGTACTTTATATTAATTTTTAAATCTTTGTATTCTATACTTAGTGCAGTGGAGGACCTAGGGGTCCTGGGGGGAAGTGCCCCCGCTTTCGACCCCAAAATGTAGTATTAGTATTTATGATAAAAATCAGTGCCCCCGCTTCTTGATATAAAACTATGACTATTAGATATGTAATAGTTCTGTCAAAGAGCATATGTAATTGTTATAAGACATTTAAATGACTAAGGAGTTATGATGAAGCGATTTCATATAGTTAGACATGTTCTTCAGAGTTCACACGGTCATTTTTTGAAAATTGGCATTGATGGTTATTTTTTGTGAAGTACAAATTTTTTTTTCCAAAATTAGAAGTCAATGATATGATAAGACTTTGAATATGTGTGGTGAGCTTAATGGATTTAAGATTGTCTTAAATGAAATTCCATAAACAAGTTGTATTCATTATTTTCTTACCAAATACAATTAGTTATTGTGGCTATTGCACAAAAAAAGAAGTTTGTGGATAGTTTCTTTGGATATTTGCTCATGGTTATGTTACTAAAATGTTTGGATCCTCTTGTAAAATAAAGGAGTATTCTGAAAAAAAAATGTTATCATAAGAGAGTTATTAGAAAAGAGTGTAGTAGCAACAAACGTGAGATGATTGAATCAAGAAATTAAAATAGTTTAGCTCTGCCGGGAGTTACATGTTAGGATTCACAATTTCATCCCAAGTTTATGAAGAAATTTTGGACACTGTAATTCTGTGGCACAACGTGTAGCGTTGGACACTATCCTAGCTCCAAATCAAAATTCTGACCGTTTGTAGTACAAAAACAACTTGAATTCTAATTCAAAACCAGAAATGGCATCAGGATGATTCAAATCTAATTCATATGAATTATTTTGTTTTTCTCTTAAGAAACTGAATATTATTATTTAGAGTTGATTTAATGGCTCGAAAACTAGACATGTTATACATAGATGCAAGATATTTGAAACTGATATTGAAAACTTGTTTTTTTTTAAAAAAAAAATTGTCTACACATTGAATAGATTAGTCTCACACCCAACCCGACCCGTCTCCGTTCATACAGTAGTGCCCCGCTTGAGAAAAGTTCTAGGACTTAATGTATAGCATTACCACAATCGATCACATGGACTACAATAAATTAATAATACTCTCCGATAAAAAAAAAAGTGAAGAATCAAACTATTAAACTAGATCCCTCAATCTAGACAGAACCTTCCCATAAATTTGTTACATGTCAAAAAAAGTGAAGAATCAAACTATTACTGAGTTTTGTTTTTTGGAAAATTAAAATTACTGAGTTATACGGAGTATCTTTGTTTACTCTTTTATCTCATTCACATTTTTGATAGATTTTTTCTTAAAATGTGATGTAAATACATTTTTGTTCAACGTCTACATTTTTACACATATGCTACTTATACTCACTTGTATACTCACATATACTCACTTATACAAAACATGTTTAATGTTTTGTTTATCTATGAACGGAGTTCACACAAAAAAAACCTTCTCATAGAAGGTGGGTATAAGCATAGGCATAAAAGTGGGTACAAACCGAACTGTTGATATTTTTATCAGATATGAAGCATTTGAGTATTTCACATTACTTTTTATGGATTTTATCCATCTAGAATTTGAAATATAGGTTCCAGAGGCGTGTATGATTTAAAACATCAATGTAAGACCTAAAATATTATAGATTTTGGTTTATTTAATATATTCTAATTTTATTGCTAACTTGTGATTATTGTTTCTTTACAAAAGTTTATTAGTGTAATAAGATTAAACAATATTTAATTGTTAAAAATAAAATAAATTAAAATTCATGAAACTTTAGATCTTAGATTGATAGTTATGATTATTCAGATTTTATATCGATACATTTTATGTTCAGATTTCTAATTATTTGTGAACTTATTGTGGTAAAATTGTTAATCATATGCTTTGTACAATTCACGATTTGGGAAAGTTGTTAACATTACATTATTTAAATAAAAATCTATGAAAGGAAATGTCATGTATCGCACTGATTCCACATTTAGTTCATGTCTTTGACCACTTTTGATACATGACTATTGTGTTTTTGTCCATATATGGTCCTTCCGACAATAATTCTGGTGGTTAAAATCGCCGGAGAAGGACAATAAATGGTCAAAAAACATTAATCAAGTACCAAAAGTGAACAAAATGAAAGACGTGGACTAAATGTGGAAATGACATAAAACTTGCATGACCTAAAATGGAATTTAAATTATACTACGGAGTTACGAAGTATTATATAACTAAAGTTGGTCGTGTAAAATACTTTAAATAGAAGGGAGAAAGATGAACTACAAAATGAGCAAGTCTATAAGTTGGTTGAACAAAAGGCTTTTGGGCAAAGGAACTCTCTCTGCTTCTGTCTGCAAAATCCAACAGATCTCATAACTTCTCGAATTGTCTTTATCGTCACCATCCTCCACTCAGCTGAAACAGAGAGAAAGAGAATGATTGGCGGGGGAGGGAGGAAGAATGCCGGCGGTCGAGCAGTTTCGCCATTTCTGTTGGTGCTCATTTCCTTGGGGTTCTTCTTCGCCACTTACAATCTAGTGACACTCCTCATCCACCAACGACCATCCGCCTCCAGCGGCCACGGCGGCGACTTGTCCTCCACTGTGCGCCGCAGTGGTAACCCCAAGTTCCACGTTGCTCTCACGGCCACTGATGCTCCGTACAGCAAGTGGCAATGCCGGATCATGTACTATTGGTACAAGAAGATGAAGGACTTACCTGGGTCTGATATGGGAGGTTTTACCCGCGTTTTGCACTCGGGTCGCCCCGATAACCTCATGGAAGAGATCCCTACCTCAGTTGTTGATCCCCTTCCCGAAGGCATCGATCGGGTGAGAATATTCTTTACTTTGAGCATATTCATTTTTCGAATGAAAAAATAATTTATAAAGAAATAATATGCTCTTTGAATTCTCCTAAGAGAATTGAATTCTATAAGGTATAAATTATTTTTTCATTATTAGAATTACTGTTTGAGCTCATATCTTCCAGATGTGGTTGTTATTAGCGCCCTGCTTAACTGGTACGGAGTGTGTTGCTTGATAAGTCTGCATGGTTACAATGTTGGAGATGTTTATGGAATGTTATGCACTTATGCTGGAAGTGTTTTTATATGATGTCATTTCTGTTTTGCATTCTTAGAGTGATGCATCATTTGTTTTGCAACCATGAGCTCAAAATTGAACATCTCTTGAACATCAAGATAAAGCAAGGTGCTCGGGTATTCTAATTCCTGATAGATCAGAGAGTACATGTGCATTTAAGATCGAAAAACTCAACATATTAGACCAGAAAAACAAACTTGAGTAGATTCTCCATATTTATATTGGTTATTAACATAAAGAATTGCAATAGGCTATAAGTACAAGAGTACATTTTTTATGTGATAGTACTTCTAGTAGTTACCCATTGAGTTCTAAGCAAGACTATTAGAAAGTAGTGGATGCTAGCTGCCCTTTTCAAAACCTGATGTCCAGCAGACAGTGCCTATTAATCCATTTTTTAATCACTTTGTTTATTAAAGGGTTTTGCCTCACCGCCTTGACACTTATCCTAGCATATGCAACTTGTGCAAAAGGCTTTAACCATTGGTCGGGTTAGAGTGAACAAGTATGTTTGTATTATTACCTCTAGTTTGTTCTGGTGGTCTCGCTCCATCAGATTTACTAAAAGACTTATTAAGTATTGAATTATTCTCTTGCTCTAAGGAGCAATCAGTCTCTTAGATTTGTTGGCTTATACTCATTTCAATGCTTTATGCAGGGTTACATTGTACTAAACCGACCATGGGCCTTTGTTCAATGGCTGGAGAAAGCAGTGATTGAGGAAGAGTATGTCACTTATGTGCCTGCAACTGCAGAAGTGTTTATTTTATCCCTCTCAGATGTTTAATAGTATTAATTTTAGTATGAATGGTGACTGATGCAGATACATTCTAATGGCAGAACCTGATCACATATTTGCAAACCCATTGCCAAATTTGGCCTTGGAAGGGCAGCCAGCTGCATTCCCCTTCTTTTATATCAAACCTTCAGAGAATGAGAAAATTATAAGAAAATTCTATCCAGAGGAAAGAGGCCCTGTATCTAATGTTGATCCTATTGGCAATTCTCCTGTAATAATAAAAAAGGTAAGGCTACTCTTAAAGTAGCAATATGTAAGGCCTTGATATGCTAAACAAGATTATTATCATGATGTAATGTAGTAAATATTTAACAAAAGTTAATAAGAAGAATAGAAGCCACGACTCTGCTCAGATTCTGCCAAAAGGCAAAGCTATTTAGTAGACAGTAGACTATAATTTACCCCATAGATTTTGTTGACCCATTATTATGCGCTTTTTGATGAAAATATGAGTTTGCTGTTTTCTCTAAATTAATTCCATTTCATTTTATTTTGTGTTGTTGCAGTCAGTTCTGGAAAAAATTGCTCCAACATGGATGAATGTTTCTTTGAGGATGAAAGATGATACTGAAACTGATAAGGCGTTTGGATGGGTTCTAGAAATGTGAGTTGTATGGCTGTGTACTTAATTTTTTTTTCAAATATGGAATGCCATGTTGTCCTGCAAGCCTTTTTTATTTGCCTATAATTTTTTGTTTCTCAGGTATGGCTATGCAGTAGCATCTGCTTTGCATGGTGTAAGGCATACTCTTCATAAAGACTTCATGCTGCAGGTTTCTGAATAACTAGAACACCTCCCCCCACCCCACCTTCTCTGCGCTCTTGTGCTCACTTAATCCCTTTTGTGTGTGTACTATTTATCAGTAAAACCAACAGTTCTTTCTTCAGTTTTTCTGTTTAAAATTTTCTTACAGTTTCTGCCCTTCCTAGCAGCATGAGCAAAACACATGACATGGGGTGAATATAAAAGTGTGTGTGTGTGTATATATATATATACACACACACACTAACAATTTATTATTTGTTTCCTGACAAGATTGATATTTATTTCAGCCTCCCTGGGACACTGAGGTTGGCAAAAAGTTCATCATTCACTATACGTATGGTTGTGATTACAATATGAAGGTGAGTTTTCTTAACTACACATTTTATTAATCAGTATGAACATCTTTTCAGCTTGAGGGTGTGAGATAAATATACGCTTCATTGTCCAACTCTCATGGTGATTTTATCAGGGAGAACTGACATATGGAAAGATTGGAGAATGGAGATTCGACAAAAGATCCTATCTTCAAGGCCCTCCACCGCGGAACCTTCCTCTTCCTCCTCCAGGGGTTCCTGAAAGTGTGGTATGCAAACTCCCTTTGCCCTTGTTTGATTTGAGGATTCCTAAAGGGAGGGGTAATATCTTTTCTATTATTCAGATGGTTGTAAATGAAGAGAAGATGCAAAATCTCACGTAGTTATTTAATACAGAGAAAATTTAGTGCGTTAAAAAAGCAATCCCCTCTTCCCTCCAAAATCCCGTAAAACATATAATCCCGAACATATAAAGCATGTTGGAGTTACTCATCCTATAATAGTTGACCTGCGTTTCAAAGGACGAAACCTCAGGTCTTAATAACTGAATCGTACTTGGTAAATCAGTTACAAAAACGTTCTAAACCGCCCTGTGAGAAATAAAATCATAATGGCTTCTTGAACTCTTTTAATTGATTTCATTTGTTTATAAAATTGTACAATGTTACAGGTGAGACTGGTGAAGATGGTGAACGAAGCAACTGAAAATATTCCCGGATGGGACACAAACTAAAACAATACCTCCAACTGGGAGAGAGCCGTTAACCTCATTGCCTGTGCACAACATTACTCATTCTCACGGCTAGGGATTTTCAGACACAGTGAGTTTGGACAGAGTACATTAATGAATCTAACAAATTATGTGGAAAATATATCATGAGCAGTCAAAATCAGTCCGATTTCTTGCTCTCTTGCTTTGGCTACCCCATGGTAACCATTCTAATGCTCAAGAGCGTATCCAACATTCTTTTGTAGAAATCTGATCATTGGTTTTAGAGTTCTATTTCATTGTAACTTTGATGATCACTAACTTACTTTGAAACAATGTCATTATCTCATACTAAAGTTACACCGTAATCTCATTATTATATTGAACATATTCTTTTTTGCATTTGATTATCACATCACTTTTAAATGATACGCAGTATATTGTATTTCAATATTTATTTCAATCACCGCACCCATTAATAATTGATTTTTTTTCCTCTACATGAATAATTGATGGTTGGATCATTAACATCGTGGACCGACAATAGTTGAAATTATTATTTTCTTTTTTCCCAATTGAAATTTGAGCACAACGTGCCATTGTGCCAACTAGCTATCCACTTTGTTATTATTATTGTTGATGCTGTCGTAGTTCTTCCCTCAATTTTCTATTTCTAATATATTTTTTCTCAATTACGATAAAAAAAATTCTCAATTACGAATGTGGACCAAGTTATAGTTCTCAAGTCGAACCAATATTAGATGGTAAATCACCAAGTTGAAATCAGATTAAGAATTTGTTTGCTAATCTCTTTTTCAACTTTGGAGTATGGACCATATCATGAATCATGATATCGACTAACTTTTTATAAAATATTAAACTTTTTATTTTGCGTTAAATTGTTGATAATCTAACGTGGTGATAATCTACGGGACTACGGGAGTAAGAAAGTTACTTTTCTCTTTGTATTAGTTGAATTTCCTAAAGCTGATTGTTTTAGTTTTTTCATATAGTTCTTAAAATGTAATTTTTTTATAATTTAAAACTCAACCATTCGACTGTATCAGCAATAATTCAAAGGGAAAGTTCCCAAAATAGTACTAAAAAAGTTTGAAAATTCCAAAATAGGACTATCATGTTTTTATTCCCAAAATAGGAGTAATTACTGTCAAGTTTGGAAAATACTGTCATATTTAAGGTCTGATATTGCCAAAACATGGCAGTAATTAGTCCTATTTTGGGAATAAAAACATGGCAGCCTTATTTTGGAATTTTCAAACTCTTTTAGTCCTATTTCGGATAATATCTCTATTTTTTAATATCAATTTTAATGTTACTAAGAGGAATCTAATTCAGAGTATCTTTATTAGGCCAACTTGTGTACGATTCATATCCTCCAAAATGGGACTAAAGCAATTTCAATCCTCATCCCGATTATTTGATAGTTTTCAATATGGTATTAAATGGGATCTGAACTAACCATAGCCCCGGACTGGAACTATTTGGGGCCGGGGACCGGAACAAGACCTAACCTGGAAATTCCAATCAGGTTGTTGAGGAAACTCCGAAACTCGGTTAGGGAGGGCGGGCCGGCAGGGGACCGGAAACAACGGATCAAGAACCCATCTGGACTGGTATAAATTGCTCAGTGTTTTATAATATATTAAAGTCATAATTATTGGGAAAAAATTGTTTTCCATCAGGTTGTTCATATCTTTATTATCTTCAATTTCAAAATTTTCAAACAGGTGAATAAAATAATAAGCTAACAATTACTCCCTCCATCCCTATATTATCTTCAAACTTTCCTTTTCCATCCATCTCAAAATTATCTTCTTTCCCTTTTTGACAAAAAAATGTGGTTTACAACCATTCTTACACATTTCTTCCGTCTACACATTTCTTCCGTCTGCACAACTCTCACGATCTTAATTAGTATGCCCAGTCAAAGGAGGAGTTTTTATTGGGAATTTGGAACCTAGTTTTTTTATCGTAAGCTAGCACTTGGTTAATATTGCTAAAATAATGATATGAAATGCTGCTGAGGAAAATACGTAGAATAAATATTTACTCGTGCTTTTTAAGAATAAAATCTGATACAACAACAAATCAGTGCCTCATCTGGTGGAAAAAAAAAAAAAACCTCTGCTGACCATCCTCGCAACGAGTCAGAATTGTCTTTTTTCCTTCTACTATTGTGTATTCTCAGAGATTTACTCGGTCTTTTTGTTTTCTGCGGCCGTGGAGTCGTCTTCTTTAACTTCCGACGCCTTAGACTTGGACTCATCGAACTCCAGTAACTGTAAATAAAGAAAGTAAAAGAATCACCAAATGATCCAAATAAAGAAAGTAAAAGAATCACCAAATGATCAAACACTGTGCACCACTTGGGTATGCATGATCAGCAAAGCAACAAAATACAAAGATAATACTGAGTAGGAGTTATGAATATGTAAATATATAGACGTCTATAATTATAAATGTACACATACAGGTTTTACATCGCCGTTCCAAAGGCAATGCACGGCCAAAAATCCAATCACAGCTGGAACAATGTATAGCAGTGCTGGCTGTAATATTATGAGGATTACAAAACGGGGTCAAAGTCAAGATAATGAAGATATTAGAAAGCACTAAAGCACATGCATTTTTATTAACAGTGTTGAATTTGAACATTACTAACCTGTGCAGCTAAAGCACATGCATTTTTATTAACAGTGTTAGATTTGAACATTACTAACCTGTGCAGCTTGAAACCAGTTCATCACAAAGATGGTCAGAGCCAAACCGGCTGTGTAGCCTATGAATGAGCTTGTGAAGTATTGGCTTGACCTTCCTCTCGAGACGTCAAAGCGGAGTGCCAATGCGACAAAGATTCCTGTGCATATATGGTGCATTATTTAAAACATCGCGAATTGTAAATCCATTCAATTTTTAATGCAGCACACGAAACTCATTGCAAAAATAAAATAGATAATATACATGTTTAAACAAAAAAAAATATAGCTGGCTTAATTAGTTAATTAATTTTCAAGTTACAAATGTGGTGTGTTGGTGGTCCCAAAAAGTTCCTTATGCACACACGCATTTATATGATGCAGTTCGAACAAAAATCAAGTCTTTTCATGAAAACAATTCGAAAACCAGATCCACAATCTTTCCATGATGCCCTTTTGATTATACATGGTGGCAGAAATTGCAATTGATTATACTTTTGCCAACACACTCTTTCTCCTAATTCTTTTGAAACCTTAGATCCACAATCTAATGCATCACATTGGTTCTCACTTTTCACATACAGATCATATTTATTTGATTCAAATAATACACCCACACCCACACATATTGATTTGAAGAAAGTAATTCCTGGTAAATGTAAAACCAGAGGTGCCATAGTAAAAATGGAGGTTATAGTGTTATACCAGGTATAACAATATCCCCAAGGCCCAGCATTGAAAATGGACGTTGAGAATCTGCAGTCGGGAACAAAAGCTGCGTGAATTGAAACAACAGTTAGATACTTGATACACACCTAGATAATGAGATGGAAATGTGGGTAAATGCAAATAACAGTCACAAACCTTGATAGGAGCATCAAAGGACTTTGCAACACTAACCATCACTGGGGTAAAAAAGACCCAGAAAATGTCATATACGAAAAGTCCAGCCTGCATTTTATAAGCATGAGATACAGAGGACGCCGTCTTTAACTGGCTAAGTGCGTCGACTAGAAGTTAAATAAGAAAAAAAATACACATTGAAGCATAGATTCCTTGTGAAAAGAAAAGGGTTATGCATTCCTCGTAGTAAATAAATGCCAGTCATGGCATACATATAGCATTGAAATTTACTCTCGTTTTGTCAAAAAAGCAGTACTTGCATGGTCAACTTCTTCACCGTAAAGAAAATATATAGTCTAAGGCGGTAAAATATATTGACAATAAGTTTGTGTGCGCACACAATTGAGAAAAAACATCTCACCAAAAGGATGGCGCCAGTCTTGAATGAGCCAAGAGAAAGCATTTCAATGCCCTGAAAACAGAATATGAAAAAAAACAAGAAATATATCATGTAAGTCGATAAATATAAACATGATAAGAACAAAGAATGCCATAGCACCATATCACACTTATTGTCAAATTAATTTCAATTCTCCAAGCAAATTGTTATGATGAACTCCAGTTGTTCCACTTTATTTGTCTTCTACTCTTTTTGTCCGTCGTAACTAGTATAATAATTTCAGTTTGCTGAATTGGAACAAAAGTAAGGGCCTGTTTACTAACAGAAACATTTTCCAGTTTTCCAGAAAACTGGAAAACTGGAAAACAGAAAACAGGAAACGTGTTTACCAAAGAAATTCCTGGAAAACTGGAGAGAGGGAAAATGAAAAACGCGTTTACCAAATCGTTTTCCAAAACGGAAAAAATGAAACATGTCTCTCTTTTCCTTAATGATTTGGAGAAGTGACTTTTACTAGTTTTCCAAATTTGGAAAACGCAGATGCTACAGTGCCTTTGCAATGAATTTGCATACTTACACCTAGTGGTGGGTCTGGTCCCGCTCAGATGTCGATTCCATTCCGGTACCTCCATCCTCGTACCTTACCCCTTACCCCTACCCTACCCACCCAACCCCCACCCCACGTACCCATTTTTCCCTATAATGACCTTACCCCACCCCCCACCACATGCCCCGACCTCGGCCCCACCCCGATCCACCCTACCCTACCGCCACCCCCTACCACCTCGACCCCACCTCGATCTACCCTACCCTACCGCCACCCCCCTACCACCTTGACCCCACCCGACCCACCCTACCCCTCGTATATTACCACTTACCCCTACCTTACCCTTTACCACATGCCTCCTACCTCGGCCCCACCCGGATCCCAGGCCCACCCTACCGCCATCCTATCCCAACTCCCTACCCTACCCCTACCTTACCCCAACCCCAAACCCTACCCACTACCCCCACCCTTACCATCCTACCCCCACCCCACCCCTTCCCTACCCCGACCCCACCCTACCGCCATCCTATCCCAACTCCCTACCCCTGCCTTACCCCAACCCAAAACCCTACCCACTACCCCCACCCTTACCGCCATCCTACCCCCCACTCTACCCCTTCCCTACCCCGGCCCCACCCTGGTCCCGACCCCACCCTACTGCCATCTTATCCCAACTCCCTACCCTACCCCTACCTTACCCCAACCCTACCCACTACCCCACCCTTAACCCTAACCATGACCCTAACCCACCCACTACCCCCAACCAACCCCCTACCCCTAGACCTTACCACCCCACCCTGACCATACCCCTTACCCCACCCCCACCCATAACTTCCCTACCCCGACCCCTACGAGTAGGTATGGGTGAGTATGAAGGGTTGTGGTGGAGTATGGGTAGAGTGTAAGATCGTGGTAAGGGTAGAGGTAGGGGTCAAGGGTGTGGAATTGGAGAACTGTGTGA